CGTTATTACACTCTTAAATCCTACTACTTATTCCTGCATCTTTTGGGATCAAACGACGTGTCGACAATTTTGATAGTCGACATAATCGTGACTAGTCGACTAATCGTGGCAGCCCTACTTCATACATCATTACTTTCAGAGCCAGCATGTTTAAATGACAGTATTCATATTTGGTACTTGTGTATAAATATTGTATATTTTGAAGTACTGGTACTTTATTCCATCCATAATATTTGTCAAACATATTCAGCCTGCTGAAAGAGATTCCTTTTCTGCTCCAGGACTGAGGTTAGAGCAAATTTTGGTGGACTGTGCATTCACTGTACTCTGCTGCTGGTAAACAAACCTAGGTTATTAATAATGTTTGGTGAGCTGTAGCATTTAGCTGATATACTGCATTCATGCTGAACATTCAGGTTCAAATTTTTTAAAAAAAAAAGATGATTGAGTTCGGAAAGTTGGGGCGAAAACCAGGGAAAAAAGTCTGAATTTCCAAGATTAACGTTTTACATTTCTTAAAAAAAAAACAAAAAAAAAAACATAGGAAAACTGTGTTTTTGGTCAAACAACAACACTAGATGTAAAGAGAAGATATGCATTTTCACGTTTTTGTGCCAGTCTTGGTCAGTGAAAAATAAAACTACATCAACATAAGTAATACCAAACATTTTTTTCCCGTCAAAGAAAACCATCACGACGCTTATCAGTAAATAAAGTAAGTGAAGCACAATTTAAAGTCCCACCTCTTCTTTGCAAGTCATATTGTGTCCTAGTGGTTTGGTTACTAAGGACCCTCCATGCAGCATCAACTTCTAGAAACTTCTTCACACCAGACTCTGCTTCGGAAGAACAATCCCCTCCAAGACGGTCTGGGTGGTACTGCAGATTTGTGCACACACAAACAAACGTATATTCAGACACCTCATCTTCTATGTATGAACTTATTGCAAACATTTGACATTTGGAGGGCTCAGAAGACCCAGACAGCTGTCCAAGAAAACAAAGGGATTGGCACTTACACAGTGCTTTTCTACTATGAGCACTAAAAGCACTTTTATTCCTGTCCAAGTGTCTTGTCTAACATTCACACACAGTCACACTCTCATGGATGCATTGGGTTATCTCTCCTGCAAGTTGAAAGACGCCTGATATGCAAACTGGAGGGGCTGCGAATCAAATTACCTTGTGATAGGTCGATGTCTGCTCTACCACCTGAGCTACAGCTTATTATTAATACTAGATACATACATTCTAATGGATGCAACAGAGAAATACACAGAAATTAGTTAGCACAGTCTCATCTGGGCACCTTTTGGCACCTAAGGCAGTCAAATGTGGGTCAGTTGGCTTAAAAGTCTTGGCCAACAATTTTCTAATAGCTTTACACACTTGTCGCTAATAGCTATCCTCCAGCTAAATATCTGTGCACCATTTAACAAAACTGATGACAGCATTTTATTGCTAGCTTCTCTTCATGCAAACAAAATCCTTCCATGCACAAATGACAGTCATGGAGTTCCACATGTGCTGGGGCTGATCCCTTATCCACCTCCTCTTAAGATATGTTATTAGAAAAAAAACTGCATACGCTTCCACTGCATTACTCATCAGGTGTAAATGCAGTGGTGAGAATGAATACAAACGCCACATTTCATACAATCTTATCATGATGACAATGCAATGATCAGATGCTTTCCAAATGGTATGATATGGTGGCTCAAAACAGGACGACACTTTTCTGTTTTCAAACAAAAGGAACTGGCTGCTAATAACAAAGTGTGCAAAGATAACATCTAAAGTGGATTTGTTCCCAAATTGTTTATGTATAGACATAACACTGGTTCATCACTGAGTTAGGAGCCTTTTTATGCTTAAAAAATACACAGGTTATCCTTAAGTTGCCTAGGCCAAAAAAAAACAAAAACAAAAAATCTGGTCAGCTCCAGGGACTGAAATGAGGGAAAAGGCACACAATGTGGACAACAAAATAGAAATAAATGAGGGTAGACCGTTTTTGCATGCATATAGGTAGTATGGGTCTATAGAATGATGGGACAAATAGAGAATGGATTTACCTGTAAGGCCAGCTGCTGGTACCTGTGTCTGAGCTGCTGAACCGAGTCTGAGGGGTTTGCTCCCAGGACAGCATACAGGTCCTTCTCTATTGTTTGGTTCATTCTGCGTAAGTGCGATGCTGACATCAGACAATTGCATTAGCCCTCATAAGGAGAGTCTTTTGCAAATATGTGAACTATTTTTAGGACCTTTAGCAGTCAGCTCAGTAAAATGTGCTCACTTAGAAATGTCAAATCAAACCGCAACTTTTGAACGGGTTACAGTTATTCCACAGGACGAACGACAACAAACCGAGAGCTCTTCGTTTGAAATTATTAGTGATTACAGTGGGTAATCTCACATGGTACACACATGACAGGTAGTTATTCAGTGTGAACCTGCGGGCTCAGAGGTGTGCCGGGGTCAGGAAAGACGCGAGCTTCACGACAAAGTAACGCTTAGCTAAGTTTAACATACGAAATGTGGTCGACGAAGGCGCTTATGATTTCACATTTTCTATATTTCCCAGAAACCTACATTTAAAGGACTAAACATACCTCTAACACACGAGACAACATAGCGTTCTACGCTGTTATGAGTCCCCTTAAAAACAGCCCGTGTATTTATGGTCCGCGTGCTTGAGTTCCGCTGGGAAAATGAAATACAGAACACTTCGAGTACCGTTTTGTACTCAGACTAGTGCAAAACAGTGCTGGATGAATCCATTAAAATAAAACTACTTTTGTACAAGATGCAATAAACATACGGAAGAGGATTGGGGCCACTGGGGAAAAAAGTGGGCACGTCTTTTTTTCATTTCCTGATGAAAAAAAACCGTGCCCACCCAGTGGCTCTAATCCTCCTCCGTAGCAACTTATTTGGTTAACGAACTTTATCAGGAAATAAAATTTACATTTTATTTTATTTTTTACATTAATAGAACAATAACGACGAAGAACATTTTAAAAACAAAAACCACAAAATAAAGTAAACAAACAAATTTACGCTCGCTCCTGATTTAGCACAACTTGAAATGAATAAACTTAGAGTAATGGGTCCTAGATCATGTGCCAAAGCCCCTTACTCAATGACATCTGAAACTTACAAGATGAAAAACGTTTTGTTTATTTCTTTAATTTTTCAGTCACCTGTACAATACAGTCCTGTAGGCAGTGTGAGAGAGTGTCAGACACATCTTTGTCTACAGATATGTCAACAAAAGGGAAAAGGCTCAGGTAAAAAACTAATACCATAGTGTATGATTTGATACTGATGTGTATAGAAAGACTTTTTTATTATATTATATTATATTATATTATATTATATTATATTATATTATATTATGAAGTAGATAGATAATCTGGAAACCATCCCAGCTACCATAGGATGAGGATACCAACCAAATTCTGATTAACTTGGAGCATTTGGAGAATTTTCTTGAAAAAACAAGTGTGAACAACAGCTAACTCCCTTTATCCAGAGAACAACAGTAATTATTGCAGAATATGATTAGGGGCAAAATAAGGACAATATGGTTGCTATGTAAACAGAGAAAGTTGTTGAATAGTTTAAGTCTGAAAATATCATGGAAGTGAAACAAGTGTTAGTGATTGTTTCAAACTGTGGTGCAAATAGATAAGATATTTTACTTTAAAGTATCTCAACAACCAATATAAAGTGTTGAATTTTACTGCCAAATGTCTGAGCAAGCATCCAGCAAAGAGCAGAGCAGGACCACATGCTGGGAAATCTGTCCTGAAAATACAGACCAGAAGTGATCTGTTAATTGAAATGGGAACAGAAGTGATGAGGTGACATGATGACACCTTTATGATCTGATTTCCTGTCTGTCGCTCAGTCGTGGCTCTTAACGAGACCACAGAGGGAATGGGTGAAGAGGAGAGATCCTGGGTGAATGACATTGTTGTACAGTTAATTATGTCGTCATTTTGGGTGAATTAAGGCTCAATTAGTGAAGTGACACAGTATTCATTGTCAAACTGTGGCTGCCATCGTCACTTTATTAAATACCAAGGTCTGTACAGCCTCCTGTAGTGTCATCCAGCTGTCCTGAAATACATCGTGTCTTTGTGAACCTTTTGGTCACACTTTGGTCAAAGGTGTTGATAAAATTCTGCTCTTGGTGGAAGTTTTTGTATGAGACTTTGTTATTATGGAAAAATGGAAAATATTCTAACATGTATAAGCAGGCTGTGTATAATATTAGTCAGATGAAGCTGTTCAAAATAGAACAATTTTTTATATTCTCACCTATTGTATAACACATTTTATACACAAAAAGACGAATAGTGCATTATGGGCACAAACAGGAAGCTTTTTCTCTCTATGGCATGTATCTGGACTCGGATACTCACCTGTCACCTTCCTGCCTGCCCTCCTGGAGTCCTTTGCTCTCTGGACTCAGTAACAGAAATGGTTGGTTTTTCTGGCCCAAACACCCACAAAGCTTGCCTAGCTGCCTCCTGGAATTTTCCCTCCTCAACTCACAAGTACACAATCCTCATATCTACAACATTCATGGATCTCTGGAAGCTTGGAATTAACTCTGCTCTCCTCTAACGTAGTGCTATCCCTTCCATATACAGGTAACAATACCAGCAATGAAAGTCTTAGGCCCCTCAATATTGTACAGAGAAGAGTAAAACTGCACATAAGTAACACTAAATAAAAATAAGATAAACTATATAAATAAAGGAAATATATCCTTCTCGATATTTCAGCAGCTCAGTTGGTTGATGGTTTGTGGGTAGAAACTGTTCCTGAAGAGTGTATGGCTGGGATGGCTGGGATCAGACAGGATCCTCTCAGCCTTCCTCCTACAGCGCTGTTTGTAAAGGTCTGGATGGCTGGCAGTTCAGACCTGGTGATTTGACCACCCGCTTTGTGGTCCAGAGCATTACAACTGCCTGCCAGCTCATGATGTAGTCAGAAGGAATACTCTTGATGGTGCATCGACAGAAGTTGGCGAGTATTCTGAGGTCCATGCCAAACCTCCTTAGCCGCCACAGAAGGAAGAACCTCTGTCTCGTTGCTTTTGTGATCACATTTGTGATGTCAGCAGCTCAGATCCTCACTTATGTTAATAACCAGCAACCTGAAGTATCTGACTCTCTCCACCTCTGTCCCCTCCATGTAAATGGGAGTATGCCCCATGCCCTGCAGTCTCCTGTAGTCCACAGGGAGCTCTTTGGTCTTTCTGACATCCAGACACCATGATGTCAAGTCTCTCATCTCTGTTCTGTAAGTGGGCGTTGTGCTTCCTGCCAGTCGAAAACATCATACAGCTCATTCAGTGCCTTGGAGGGGAATATAAACGGTGGAACAGAACACAGTTATAAACTCTCTAGGCAGATAAAATGGTCTGCATTTGATCATGAGGTGTTCAAGATTAGGAGAGCACCCTGATAAAACTGTTTGTACATCCACACACCACCACTTCTTAGTCATTATGCATACACCACCTCCCTTGCACTTACCAGAGACCTTTGTCCAGTCCTGGTGGTGAATGGAAAGACCCACAAGGACAATAGCTGAGTCAGGAACTGAGAAATCAAGCCACGTCTCCGTAAAAATAAAGAAATTACAGTCTTTAACAATCCCAGTGCAAAGTCACCCTGGCCCACAGTTCATCCAGTTTGTTTTCCAAAGTTTGGACGTTAGCAAGAAGAATGCTGGTAATTAGGGAATGGTGTTGTCATTCTCTGGCTCATTTCCCCTTTTCCTTCAGGGTAGTTTCCACTCTGGTAAGGTAAGCCACCTCCATTCATTAAAAAGTATGTTGGTGTGGTCTCAGATTGTGAATGCTGTCAAATGTCTAAAAAGAGTTTGTCTGTCATATATTATCAGTGCACTGCATGTTACAAAAAAAACTAGAAAATAGTGTTAAAAACACACAAAACATGCCAAATTGAGGTGGATGCCGAGCAACAGCAGCCATCCTCACTGGCGCAATCTTCTTTAGATCCGGAAGTGTAACAAAATTTGGGAGAAATTTTTAAGTTTAAGAATTTCTTTAACATGGAAACAATATTTTGCATTTAAAAAAGTTGAGTTGTATATTTTTAAAAAAATGGAAAGAAAATTGCAAACAGTCCATTTGAAGAAAATCCAATGACAGGGACTCACAGATACAAACAAGAAAAAGGCTCATGTTACCACATACATAGTCAGCATGTGGGTACTACATTAGTCAGTGATAAAGCAGCGACAGCAGGATTCTCAAAAACATCTTAATCTTTGCCACACATAAATATCCAGCTTCCAATAGATAGATGTTTTTGACAGAAATATTTTATTTGTTTCCCAGGCTGTCACATATCTTTTTTTTTTTTTACTAAAAAATAAGTCAGCTCAGTGTTATTCAGGTTTCTCATTAAAGCTTTACCAACTATAACTTATATGGGATTTATTTCAAACTTGTTCTTATTTAACTGTCAAAGACAAAATCTTTTTTATTTCTTCTATGATATACAATATTCAGAGGCTGATTTCAGCAAAAAAGGCAACTAAATGTAATAAACGTCAAGCCAATGAGAGAAATTAAGTCTGGAGAGTTGTGACATAGATTATATTCTAGATATGCTAAGTTTTATGTGAGTCATGGTTTACAGAACGATAGGAAGAAGACCCAGTTTCATGGAATATCTCTGTTTGTTTGGAATGAATTGTATAAACGGAGGAATAACATTAAAAATACACGTGGGTGTGTGCTGGCTAGCACTCTCAGACATAGCGCAGCTGTTCATTAGAAAAGTGTGAGCTTTTCTAATGAACAACACAGATGATTATAGCAGCCATCTCTGGCTCATTAAAGATGGAAAAGAACAGCCAGGCAAATATACCTGTCTACCTGTTTGTGATCATGAAGCTGTTGTTAATTATAAAAGACAATAAAAACATGATAAACAAGCAGAATAATACAAGCAGCTACAACATGTCAGTCAGAATCACTGACCCGTATGCCAGATTCTTCTTCTGCAGCCAGTCTAGCTCTATATAGAAGAACTGAGTGATACACACACCCAGCAAATAGAGAACAGCTGTTCATTAGAAAGGTGTTAACTAAAATAATAATCAACACAAAAAATAACAACTACATAAACAGCCATCTCATTACCAGAATCCACTTCTGCCTGTTATTGTCTCTAACATTCAAATGCCTGCATCCAAAATAAAATGTTAGTGAGTTGGTCAATCCACCACTTCTACAACTAAAGTTTTTTATGGAAGCAGAAGAAATAGATGAATGAATGAATAGAGGAGTTAGGGTCCAACAAGGTGCATTTTTTTGGGTTTTTGATCTTGGCAGTATTTGTGTGTATGCACATGTGTGTAATTACTTCTATCTTTAGACACAATAGTGTGAAAAGTTTTGAATGAATTCTGATAAAACTTTGTAGGGGTGTAGAGTGGGGTTATGTTAACAATCTGTTAAAATTTGAGTTACATCCATGAAGGTTGTCAAGATCAACTTAATGATTGGCTGATAATTGACAGAAGGCTTAGAAACTACAACTCTTGCAAACGTGCTGTGCATTTTTAAGATATATTGTCACGGCCTGGAGGTTCAGCTGGTCGCTGATCAGCTG